AAACTGACACAAGAACAAAAAATCAAACACTGCATGTTCTCACTCATAGGAGGGTGTTGAAAAATGAGAACACACGGACACAGGGAGGGTAGCATCATACATTGAGGTCTGTGGGGGAGAACTAGGGGAGGGACAATGGGGGTTGGGGAGGGATAACATGGGGAGAAATGCCAGATATAGGTGATGGGGAGGAAGGCAGCAAACCACATTGCCATGGAATACTATGCATATACCTATGCAGCAATGCTGCAGGTTCTTCACATGTACCCCAAAACTTAAAATGCAATAAAATAAATTAAAAAAAAAACCCAGTGGGTCTGTGTTTGGATATCTGTACTAATATATTTTCAAAGTTCTATATAGTACACTGCTAAGATTGAGAACTACTGTCCTATGAAATACTCAGTAGCTCTTCTATGGACATTTTAACATGCTTTTGAACTTACTTATAAAGAACAGAGAATTTAGACTGTTTAAAAAACTTAAAACAGTTCAATGACAAATAAAGGCCATTGAATGGAAAAGATTAATTTCTAATGATAGATTTAACTTATCCATTTAAGGTTTGGGTTAGCTATTCCATAAGGCATAAGGAATCAATCATTAAGGGGTATCTAAGAATGGAGAAACACTGTCTTGTGTATGAAAAGTCAAGTCACTTTAGAGATTATAATGAATCATTCAAACTAAGCATTTACTAAATGCCAAAAAAAAAATTTTGGTATTTATGTTTTTAGAATATGATTCCAATTTGATCTCCCCCCTACGTTTTAGTTTTTTTTCCCAAACACCTCTGTTCTTCAACTTTTCATATTTTCAAATATCAGGAGTGAAATAAAATCACCCTTGTTTACCATTTTAAAGGAAGAGAGCGGCCAGGCGCGGTGGCTCACGCCTATAATCCCAGCACTTTGGGAGGCCAAGGCGGGTGGATCACGAGGTCAAGAGATCGAGACCATCCTGGTCAACAAGGTGAAACCCCGTCTCTACTAAAAGTACAAAAATTAGCTGGGCATGATGGTGCGTGCCTGTAGTCCCAGCTACTGGGGAGGCTGAGGCAGGAGAATTGCTTGAACCCAGGAGGCGGAGGTTGCGGTGAGCCAAGATCGTGCCATTGCACTCCAGTCTGGGCAACAACAGCGAAACTCCGTCTCAAAAAAAAAAAAAAAAAGGAAGAGAGGATCAGATAAGTATTTTGAGAGTTCTTAGGAAAATACTTACAAGGTTCAAGCTCAGATTGAGAACTCTTATGGGGATAAAAGAGAGACAGAAAGCTATAGCACAATTTGATTTGCTTATGTATTATATATGCATATGTATGCACAGTAAATGTTCTCATGTTATCTATATGTAACTACTTTCATGCCACCAGCTACTACTTAAAGGTTATAGTTTTTTTTACCCATTTATTGGGATTTTTTTTTTTGAGGCAGAGTCTCCCTCTGTCATCCAGGCTGGAGTGCAATGGCATGATCTCAGCTCACTGCAACCTCCAACTCCTGGGTTCAAGTGATTCTCTTACCTCAGCCTCCCAAATAGCTGGGATTACAGGCATGTGCCACCATACCTGCCCAATTTTTTTTAATAGAGACAGGGTTTCACCATGTTGGCCAAGCTAGTCTTGAACTCTTGGGCTCAAGCAATCCGCCCACCTCGGCTACCCAAAGTGCTGGGATTACAGGCACGAGCCACCGTGTCCATCCAATTAGGGTATTATTTAGAGATAATATTTCCTCTCCTATACATACTGAAGGTGCCCAAGTATGGCCAAGGGCAAAATGAACTCACATTTACTATTATGTGCCAGGATTTATAATAGATACAAATACTTCATTAAAGTATCCTAATAACCTGTAAGATAGGTATTAATATCTTTATTTGCATATAAGGAGATAAACTGAGATGCTAAATTTCCTGCCCAATACACACAACTGTAAGTGGAGAAGCTGTATTCCAACCAATATTATTTTTAAACATCCCTGTAGGGACAAGAACGATGAAGAGAAAAAAGCTGATAAAAGTCTATGTAACAGAAAGAATGAAGGCTATGAAGTGTTAGAACAAAGGAAAACAATAAAGTCACTTACCTAGTATGTCTTTGTGAGTGTAAAAGCGTGTCTTAAGTGGCTTGTATTCATGGATCCGTGTGAAGGTTTTTCCAAAAGGGGCTGGTGGAATTATTTTGTTACAAATAGCACAGCAAACAAAGTTTGTGTAATCTGAATTTCTGATCATAGTTAAATATCCTATGTCTTCTCCTATTTACAGTTAAAATAATCTTAGAATCAGAAAAAGACGTTTCAAGAAAAGCTGAAAGTTTAAGAAAGCTGGAAGAGGTTCAGGGTTTTAGGATAGTGCTAGAGGCTGGTAAGGATTAAATGATTCACATGATTAGGCAGTGGTTATGTGCCTAACATTAAAGAATGGTACTAAAAGCCCCTGCCATAGGAGGTATGGGCACCAGATTTGGGAAGATTTAAGCAGTTGCTCCTTCTCAGACTCTAGCATTAAATTGTTAACTTACTTAGCAACTGTTGCTAGGTAAGACAAGCTTTGCTCATAAAAGTAACTTCAAACAATGACAAAAGGGAACATGATACAGCCATTCATTTTCCAGATACTTTCTATATTAGTTTTCTGTTGCTCCTGTCTTACTATGTTTTCTGTTGCTTATAATAGAATACTTGAAACTGGATATCTTATAAAGGAAATTATTTCTTACAGTTTGTGGAGGCTGAGAAGTCCAAGGTGGAGGAGCTGCATCAGGTAAGAATCTTCTTGATGGTGGGAACTCGCTAGGGTGGTACAGGGTAAGACATGGCCAGGGGCTGAGCTCACATGCTAGCTCAGGCCTCTCTTCCTCTTCTCATAAAGGCACCAGTTCTCTTCCCATGAGAATCCATTAATCCCTTAACCTGTGAATAAATTCACTCACCTCTTAAAGCCCCCACTTCTCAATATTATCGCTTTGGGGATTAAAGTTCAACTGAGTTTTGCAGGGGACAAATATTCAAATCATAGCACCATTGTTACAAACTAACACAAACTTCATGGCTTAAATGTAACACAAATTTATCCTCTTGCATTTCTGGAGATCAGAAGTCTAAAATGAGAGTTAGGGACTAAAATCAAGTTGTTAGAAGGGCTTGTTCCTTCTGGAGGTTTCAGAGGAGAATCTGATTCTTTGCCTTTTCCAGCAGGCCATTCATATTCCTTGGACTCATGGCCTCTCATCATACAGTCTTTTCTCCCCATGCTTCCACGGTGACACTGTCTCTTCCTCCGATCTTCTGCCCTGCTTTAAGGACCCTGGTAATTATACCAGGCCCATCTAGTTAATCGAGGATAACCTCCCCGTCTCAAAATCCTAAACTTACCCATATCTGTAAAGTCTCTTTTGCCATATAAAGTAACATATTTACAGGTTCTAGAGATTAGGATCTGGACATTTTTGCAGGAAAGGAGAGTAACAGTCAGCCTACTACACTTTCTTTTAAATGGGTTTTTAAAGAATTAATTTTGTTTAAGGCCAAAAACAGAGGTAGATTAATTTCTTTTAGGTTTTTAATAAACGTGATGTTTTGATGCCATGGTAGTAAAACTGGGATATATCATCGTATCTGGAAGAAGAAATTACTTTCACTAAGTCAGCATTCTAAATTATAAAACCCGGTTTTAAAAAATCACAGTTAACTAATTTGTTCCCGTAATTTTAGAAAAAAGCCATAGAAATTCTGCCTATCACAAAAATCTGTGCAACTGATTACACCAAGTCATTTTTAAAAATTGCCTGACAATGTCATATGCTGCATCTATTCGGGAAGACTATTTTATAATAGGTGAATGCCATCAGTGAAATTAATTTCAACAATATGACTCCCATAGGGCCCTGAGCTAAGTGTACCACAAGTTACACTATAATTTGTAGTGACACATACGGCATGATAACTGACTGATGACTTTAAGTAATTATCAAATTGTGCCAGGTGTGACTTCGAGAAAAGGGTTAACTGGGACTTGGAGAGGAGTTAAAAACAGAGATGAATTTGTAGTGAGAATGGGGACTACTGTGTACACACAGTTTGTCATCTGGATTGAGAACTGAGGCTATTTGTGCCAATGACTTTCCTATGTGTTACTAGAAATTCTTGCCCAGATGGGAGGGTAACTAATTGGCCTTAATTTGCCTGGGACTATCCCTGTTTTAAAACTGAAAGTCCTGAACTGTCTTAGTGTCTGGCAAATTGGAAGAGTTGGACCCCCTATGGAAAGATAGGGCTATAAAACCAATAAATAATTTCAGTGTTTGCCTTAGGAAATCCTTGAAAACCAATTTATCAAATGGATAGCTTGCTGATCTAGGCAAACAGCTCTTTCATCGAAACATGAGATTATTCCCCTAGGCAAAGTTAAAAGTTCACTTAACATTTATCAAACAGTTTACTAATCAAGACTTGCTTCAAGATCTCATCTGTTATGTCAGGTACCTTGCCCATTCTCAACCAGATTTCTGCGTTGAAAGATCCTTCTTTAATCACTTGAACTCAGACCTCAAAACACTTTAATATCTTCCCCTGACCATTCCCTTCTTAAATACAGCTAACTTTGTAAAAGTGGTATTTCCCCTTAGTGCAGATTTAATAAGCTTAGTTTTGTTTGATCATCCGGTTGTTCTGATGGTCTTTTGGGGGAGCTGGCAGTTAACAATCCTTTATATAATTCTGTTTTAAAGTACAGGAGTGTTTTTCTATTTAAGATCTAAACTTACTTTTAAGGGCTAATGTGGCTGCTTTATTATTATGTGGACATTTATACACAGGAGGTGGTACAGTATGGTGAAAAGATCCCTAGACTTTAGAGCTAGAAGATATAGGTTCCAGTCCTTTCTGAGAATCACCATGATCTTTGGTAGATCTCTTAGCCATTCTCAGGCTACTGTCTTAACCATAAATTGACAGGATTGGATCAGGTGAAGTTCAATGTTCAGAATCTTCAGACTGTTTAAAGGTGTTTTATTTTTGATGGCTATACCCTAATTCAACAGAGAAAGGATGAAAATATCAACACATAGCCAGGCAGCCTTTGACACTTGGCATACACAAAGACTGTCCTACAACTTGTAGCCACTCTGTAAAAAGTATCATAGTTAGGTAATTGTTCCTAAAATTCAATATGATTCTCTCCTCACACTACTTTTCACAGCTCTGTCCTTGACTGACTCTAGTTACTTTGGTTCATTCACATACACGTTACATGACTTAAGTCTGTACCTTGTACAGTTTCTGCTTCCCTTCTGCCCTGCAATCTTTTGACAGTTCACGCAACTAATACCTCCTCTGCCACCAAACATCAACTTATTGTGTTGAATAGTTAAAAATTCTAAAAGGTAGCAATGTAACATTAAATGCATAAGTTAAAAACAGAAGAACCCTAGTTCTGTGACAACCAAAATACATAGGGAAACCAAAAACAAAAGACAATCTTTAAATGAAAAGGCATTTTGTTTCACTGAAGTGCATTTTAAACTATATGAAGTACATTATACAGAGAGGCATAGCAAATAAATATGTAAATATTTGGGGCTCAGTAGTAAAGATTTGATTTAGTTCCATGCAAATTCAATTAGTTAAGTTCTTTAATATTTACAAATCACACATAACTACATTTTCATGTACCTTGCAAAACCACAATAAAGTATGACAAATTAAAAAAAGCATTGATAAACTCTAGCTGTGCTGTTATTATTACTTGGTAATATTAATAACAACTGAAGCAAAACTTCAGAGGTGAGATTTACTACTGAGGCCCAATTACAACGATTTGGAGAATTAGATATACATCTAGAAATGAAACAGGTCCAGAACCCTTGTGAGAAAGATTTGAATTGTATAAGGCAGAATCTGGCCAGACATAGGGGCCCAGCCTTGACCTCTGTCCTAGGTCCCTGGGCCAGGTGTCAGGACAGCCAAGGCCTTTCTACTGCCTGCCTCCAGTGGGTGCTGATTATGGGGCTGGGCTTTGTTTAGACTCATTTGTAGCCTCATTTCTGTCCCCACTTCCATAAAAGAATGCTTCAGAGAATAAGAAACATTCTGAAAAGAAAAAAACAAAAAGGTCTGCTGGCATATAAACCTCAAAAGAAAAAAAAAATTTGTAGGGTAAACCTGGTGCAATAAGGAGACCTTATCTATTGAGTAGTTCTAGTTTTTAAATTAACTGTAAGTACACTTGGTTTTATGTTTATAACAGGTAATATTTAGTCGCGGTCAAAAACATCATACCTCATTATAACATATTTTTTTTTTTTTTAAAGAAAAACTCCAATTACTCTGGGATATTATTTTATTTAAACTTTATTTTAGTAGCTGAGTGGAAGGATCTTTTTAATTAAAATAAAATTCTGGACCAAAAATAGCTAAAATGGAAACTGAAATATATGAACCATTTGTGACACTATAAAACCTACTTGTCAGAGCCAACTCAGTTTTTCATATCTCATATTTTTAATACTGACTTCAGGCTTTAAAATTTCTATTTCTCTTTCTTTAAAAATGTAAGTTCTATGCCAGGAAGAACATGGTTATTTTGCAAATAGCAAAATACAACTAAACTCTCATGACAGCTGCACCAGTGTAATTAACTTAAAATATTTAAAACATCATGCAAATTTAACAGCATGGTACTTTCATTATACAGAATTTAATAATTAACAAAAACAACTTCTATTCTCATGGCACTTTTATAAGAGGATTTAAGGAAAGAAAAATATTATGAAGCTCACTCTGTGAAAAAAGAATGAGATAATGGCTGCAGCTGTGAAAGGACAAAATTTATGACAGTTGTATGGTTGCAATTGCTATCTTCTCTCTTCATTAGCATATTCTAGAACAAGGAACATGACACTGCACACTCACAGTCTTTCAGTTGAAGATTTCAGAGTCCTTAAAAAAGGTCCATCTGCAGTAACCAGCATTACTAATCCCATTTAGATGTTTTCCGCCTCATGTAACTGTGCCCCTCACTATCAATAGCTTCATAGAGGTCCTTTTTATTCCCTTGTGTTGCATGTAGATAACCAATATATGCCACGCAAAGTGAAAGAGTTACCAATCCAAAAGCCATTACAGGTTTGTTCTGTCAAAGAAAAAAAAATTATAAAGCTTTATTAAGGCTAACAATTTGAGGAGACTCAAATAGTTGCACTTTCCTCCTGAAGTGCCACATCTTTATTACAACACTAGCATAACCATGGCAATTTATTCCGTTCTTTATTCAATTAGCTAAACTACTGATTACCTAGAGATTATAGAAGACTCTTGCTTCTCCTCTCCAGTCTTCCTCCCATCTACACCCTGAACATCTCAGACCTCTGCCTTCAGGAAGGTGACAGCTGGGAAAGGACTGGGCCAGAACTGTCAGGGAACTTCTGAGTTTTCAGTGTTGAAGTGGAGGAGCTGCTTAACCTCCTGGGTCCTGGGACCAAGTCTCTCATTTGCAAACCTCATTTTATTAGGAAGTGAGGAATGAAGTACACATGCTATTCTTCTTGCCCAAGTCATGAATAACTGGCAAAAATCCTCTTATATATTAGGCACAGAAATAATGATGACGTATACACTCTTCACCGGGAACCTACTCTATTACCTCAAGAAATTTAGTGATTGGAACAGATATTACGCTGTTAACCTTGATTTACTCTTGGACAATCCAAGGCCCTAAGAGGCAAAGTGGTGCTTTCAGTTTAAAACCCACACACAGTAAAGCTGTGTTGTTGTTGTTGTTGTTGTTGTTTTTAAGAGACAGGATCTCACTCTGATGTCCAGGCTGGAGTGCAGTGGTGCAATCACAGGTTACTACAGTCTCAAACTCCTGGGCTCAAGTGATTTTCCTACCTCAGGCTCCCAAGTAGCTGGGACTACATGTGTGCACCACCATGCCTGGCTAATTTTTTGTATTTTTAATAAATACAAGGTTTCACCATGTTGGCCAGGCTGGTTTCGAACTCCTGACTTCAAGTGATCTGCCCGCTTCGGCCTCCCAAATTGCTGGGATTAACAGGTGTGAGCCACTGTGGCCGGTCTAATTTTAAATTTTTTTGTAGAGATAGAGTACCATTATGTTGAACTCCTGGCCTCAAGATATCCCTCTACCTCAGCCTCCCAAAGTATTGGGATTGCAGGCATGAGTCATGATGCCCAGAACAAAAAAAAAAAAAAAAAAAAAAGCTTTTAAATATAGAAAAGATATTCACAACTCAACTCCAGAGAAGTATTTTATGTATTAACTTTGTTATTCCTGAAACTGTACCTTAGACCCTTTTCTTCACATGTTCACACTCAAGAATTTGCCTTTCTTAGGTCAATGTAAATGCACAGTAGTGATACAAATAATAGTTTCTGCTTCTGTCACCATACCTGCTGTACCACTACTGAGAAAGAAAAGAAACTCTTTAACAGAGGAATGTAAGCTCCCTTTAAATTACCGGGCCCAGAGAGGCACTGGAATGAGATAGTAATTACGTCTTGAGATAAGTAATAATTCTGAAGCGCTTGCTATGTGGGTTCTGGACTGACACCACCAATAGTTATGCATTAACCTTACAATGCCATCCACTAGACATCATAACTTATATCCTATAGTTCAACAATGCATAGTCATTACTAATCAATATCATTTCTGTAAACCAATGAAAATTACTGAAAAGCAACTTTTGTACTTGCCCCCTCTCCTAATTCATCTTTTTTCTTAAAAACTCCAGCCTCTCCTTTGTTCTCCAGAGCACTTCCCAAGGTTACTATGAAGTGTTTCCCAGGCTGCAGTCCTCAATGTTGGCCCAAATAAACTTTCTACCTATATTAATTTGCCTCAGTTTCTTCCTTTAAGTGACATTTCTATTTCAAATCTTAATCACAGAAGAATAAGGGTCAAACTTTTTCACTTAGATGAACACCTAAGAAAGAACACAGACTAAGCAGTTTAAATGTACAATTCTTGAAATGCTTTTAGCAATTAAAAGAACACGTTAGTTCAAAGCTTTTAAAATATTTTACCTTGATTTAATGATCTGATTAAGTTGACCTATTTAGCTTTAAAACAGTTTACACTGCTAACTATGTTAATAAAATTCTAATCAGATTCAACACACTTAAATATTTATATTTTAATTTGATTTTATGTTTATTTTAAAATAGTATTTACATTTATTTAAAAATAAACTTCAGCCAGATGGGCATGGTGGCTTGTGCCTGTAATCCCAACAATTTGGGAGGCTGAGGTGGGAGAATCGCTTAAAGCCAGGAGTCGAAAACCAGCTTGGGAAACATAGTGAGACTCCATCTCTACAAAAAATTTTAAAAATGAGCCAGGCATGACAGTGTGCACCTGTAGTCCCAGCTATTCTGGAGGCAGAGGTGTGAGGATCACCTAAGCCCAGGAGTTTGAAGCTGCAGTGAGCTATAATTGCACCACTGTATTACAGCCTGGGTGACAGAACCTCTAATAAGGAAATAAATACATGAATTTCATCAAATCAAATGTTTTGGAATTTTTCACAAAGTATCTGTAATATTGCTTAGATAAAAACATTACCTACCGACTGGAATTACAGTCTGTAAGAATGGTCATATTTTCATTTTGGTTTCCTTGCTTAAACAGAAGGTCTTATTTACCTTATAGTAACTAATCAAACAACAAAAGTTGTCTTCAAATTAATGCAACTAATAAAATAGTACTTTAGATAGTTTTAGAAGCCGATCCACTAAAGTACAACCATTTTCTTCAAATATCCTCAAAATATTTACTTTCAAATGCCCTTAAAATATTTACTTTTATATTTGTATTTATATGTGAAACAACATTTTCAATCATCATTCCACCTGCTTTTAGTCACAGAGAAGTCTTATTTGTCAACATAAAATTTCCAGGATAAAACCAATTACAAGAAAACTAGAACTTTCTATTTCTGACAGTCTGGTTGAATTAAACATAAAGCCTTATCTTGGATGTATTTCTTACAGGTTTAATGAAGAGCTCTGGATTCACAGCACGAAATAAGGTTGTTGTGCGCACCCCTCTAAGCCCTGGGCTTTCAAAGTCTTTCCCTTTGGGTGCTTCTCTTTTGAATGTTGGAGGCTCAGGTGCTGAAGACATCTTGATCAATGATGATTTATTATACCTAAAAACAAAACATGTTTTTTCCCTTCATAACTGTGCTTCTCTAATAAATTTATTTAAAAAGTCATTTTTTAATCATGCATGTTGCAGGGAATAAAAAGTCATTCTTAAATTATTTATTTGAATTCTAACCCAGACACATACCAAATGTGATTGTCAATTATCTTATTACTTCGTATAATGCACTTTGTAAATGGTGCTTTAATTTGATAATTTCATTCATTATTTTAATTTTCATCTCAAAAGAGGTGGGCAAATGTTGTTTTCCTACTTTTCAACTGGACTGAGTCACATCATATCACATGAAACCAGGATTAAGAGTAGGTGAGGCCAGTAGGTTATCCATTCCCTTCATTTCCTTGTTTTCCCGCTTCCTCACCTTTCAACAGCCCCTCCAGAACACCAACCTGAAGAAAAGACCAGCATTCCTTTGCTCATTATCTTCTCCTACAGATTCACTCCTGGCCAGTTTCCCCCACTGCTCCTCTTTCTTCCTCCACTAGCCCACCTACAAACTCATTTTCCCAAGCAGTGAGGATAAGGGGCTGTTTGTACTCACTCCTCCTTTGCCAATCAACAACTTTCTGGGTAGGACATGGCCTGCTATCTCCTTAATCTGAATATCCTTTTCTATCTTAGTTACTCTAAATCTATCCTATTAAATCCAGGTGTGTCTTCTGACTTCTGGTTTTCCTAGCTGAAATGTCAGTAGTTTGAAAGTATTTTTCTCTTCTAGGTATTATTAGGCAAAAGCTTATTCTTATCATCTCTGCCATCTAATGCTGGGATGAGAGGTGAGGGTTGAAAGAGAGGAGGTAGAGATAGCAAGCTTCCAAAGATGGACATTAATAACAATATAGTAAAATTATTTTAGGAGAAATGCTGCAACTCACTATATAGTAAATGTTATAAAAGAGCCAAACATTCATATTTAGACACACATTGGGGCTTTGTCTGTACAAGTATTCTTTTTTTCTTTTTTTGAGACAGTCTTACTCGATTGCCTAGACTGGAAGGCAGGTGCAGTGCCACAAACATAACTCACTGCAACCTGCAGCCTTGAACTCCTGGGCTCAAGTAATCCTCCCACCTCAGCCTCCTAGGTAGCTAGGACTACAAGCATGCACCACCACACCTAGGTAACTATATTGTGTGTGTGTGTGTGTGTGCGTGTGTGTGTGTGTGTGCGCGCGCGCACGCGTGTAGGGGCAGGGTCTTGCTATGTTGCTCAGGCTGGTCTCAAACTCCTGGCCACAAAGCAATCCTGCCTCTGTCTCCCAAAGTGCAGGGATTATAGGCATGAGCCACGACACCTGGCTAGTACAAGTATTCATTAAGCTTACTATTTTATAGACTTTATAAAATCAATATTTACACAACTTTTTAGTTAAGGAAAAAACTAGGAGCTTGCTTTTTCAAAATCCTTTGTGTTACAGTAGTCACTAAATATACATCTATACTACTTAACTGGGTATGTACCTAAAGAGGAACATCTGCTTGAAGAAAAAGGAATGCTCTAGACACTTTCTACACTTCCAAAAACTTCAGAAATGTTCACTGTTGCTGGTTCTCTCACTTATTCCTCATGCATATTATGCTCATCATTGTTGCCTTCTTCATTGATATCACCATGGCTTTCTGGTTCAATTTTTACATCAGTTAGCACTCCTGTAGCAACTTCAGGATTTGATAACTTGGGAAATAGTTAAATTACTATCTGTAGCCACATTGTCTTCAAAATCAAACTGGGACATCAATGACAGTAGCAGTTGAGTGCTAGATTGGTTCAAACACCACGTTTGGCTGCAGTCTTCTTCCAGGAAGACCTCAGGGGATTCCACAGGAATCATGCCTGTTTTCTGCTAACACTTCATGACTGAAGATAACTTCATAGATCATCAGGTCTCCACAATCATGTCAATAGCTTATTCAAATTGCTTTTCTCTGTTTTCTCTTCATCCTCTACATTTAGAAAGAGTTGTTCCAGCAACTGCTTTCAGAAGTGAGCTTTCACTGTGCCAATTTTATCCTGATTCAATGGCTATGTAGTTCAATGGGAAAAACTCAACCCATACATGATCCAAGGGTGGGAGTATGTTGTGGGCAGAGCAATTGTCTGTCAGCAAGAGGATACCGTGTATTGCTCCTTGCACTCCCTTGTCAATCTTTATCAGCCATTCAGTAACACATTTCTCCTTATTCAGGCATGTGTATTGGCTTGGTAATCACAGGGGAACATTTCTGAAGCACTGAGAGTTAGCTAACTTGCCAAAGACGATTGTTCCAGAATGCATTACAGTAGAATACACCAATCATCAATCTCTGTTTATTTCCTTTGCAAAGTCTACCTTTGGCAGGAAGCATATGATAAGGTAACAAGGACACCTATTTCATTAGCATTTAAAACTCCATTCAGGCTGGGCAAGGTGGCTCACACCTGTAATCAGTGTTTTGGGAGGCAGAGGTAGAAGAACTGCTTGAACCCAGAGTTTGAGATCAGCCTGGGCAACATAGCTAGACCCTGTATCCAAAAAGAAACAAACAAACAAGCCATTCGAGCTATAACCAGCAATTTGTTTTTGTCTTAAAATTTCTCCTGCACATAAGTTAATAATTTTCTCTACTGAAACAGTGTTTTCTTCACTACAGGCAACTTGTCAAAAAGATTCCAGAATACACCTGAAGTTTGTTCAGGCAGCCTGCACTTGCTTGAAACTCATCATGCCTGATAAGGTCTGGATGTTTGTCCCCACCAAATCTCAAGCTGAACTGTAATCCCCAGTGTTGAACTGTAATCCCCAGGGTTGAAGGTGGAATCTGATGGGAAGTATCTGGATCATGGGGGCAGATCCCTCATGAGTGGCTTGGTGCCATCCTTGTGGTAATGAGAGAGTTCTCACTCTGAGTTCACGTGAGATCTGGTTGTTTAAGAGTATGGCACTTCCTCCCTCCCCTCTTGCTTCCTGTCTCACCATGTGACATGCCTGTTCCCACTTCATCTTCCAGAACTGAAAGCTTCTTGAAGCCCTCACTGGGGGCAGATGTTGGCACCATGCTTCCTGCACAGCCTGCTGAACTGTTAAGCCAATTAAATCTCTTTTCTTTATACATTACCCAGCATCAGGTATTTCTTATAGTGATGCAAGAACAGACTAATGCAATGCCCAAGGTTGGCAAAAATCCAATGCTTTCTACAGCATAGTTACGTGCCCATTTCTTGCATGAACCCAATACCATGCAAAAACAGTGACAAAAGAGACCTCACATTCACTTTTGCTTTAGTCCTAGACACCCTCTTTAAATGTTCTCTTCAATCTTGGCTCAATTTTTTAAAACTGTGAACAGGAGGCGTAGTGGTGTTAAATTCCTTTGCTATTTCTCCTGTCTTGTGGCAGCAATCTGCTGCTTCTACTACCATCATTTTTTTCTTCTAATAAGTACTACTGGTGATTCATCTTTCTTCTCTTAGCCATGATGGTATTTATAAATCATGATGGGTTTGTACATATATTTAGAATTTAAGTAACAAATGTTGGCCACCAGGTGCCTACACCAGGTGTCAGTGATGCTTCTCCCTGTGCTAAAAACTTGTTTGAGTATAAATGTGGGTGCTATAGTTTGGATATTTGTCTCCCAAACCTCACGCCAAATTTGATCTCCAGTGTTGGAGGTAAGGCCTAGTGGGAGGTGTTTGGGCCATGAAGGTGGATCCTTCATGAATAAACGAACAGCCTCCCTGAAGGAGGGAGGCGATCAAGTGAGTTCTCACTCTATCAGTTCCCTGGAGAACTGGTTGTTAAAAAGAGTCACCGCCCTCTCTTTCTAGCTTCCTCTCTCTTACCATGTGATCGCTGCGCATACCTGATCACTTCGACCTTCCACCTGAGCCCCTCACCAGAAACAGATGCTGACACCATGCTTCCTGTACAGCCTGCAGAACCATAGTTCCTCAGAGCATAGTTTATCACATATACTTTGTGTGGATGATAATGTACCATGAATTGAGGATTGATGAACTCACTCTACAACTGATGTCCAAAATCATATAAAATTATGTTATATATAATTATATATTAAATTTTTATAGTATACATAATTAATATAATAAATTATATATTAAACAACGATTTCTTGTAATATGTAATTTACATTATATATTATTACTCTATATACTTTATATACTTACCTGGAGTATATAAAATTATATACTGTATATAATTTTGGATTTCAGGTGTGGAGTGAGTTAATCATCCCCCCAGGGAGGGCATTAATCTATTCATGAGGGATCTGCTGCCATTCGTGTGTGTGTGTGTATGGGGGGAGGCGAGAAAGAGACAAAGGCTAGTTACAGCTAACAAAAATGTCACTATTTTATAATTAAATGGATGCAGTGATGCTGTTATGAAATTCAACCTATATGAAATATGTCTGTAAAAAACTATATAGTTATACAGTATTCTAACACTAATTGTGATGACTTAATTTTAATTGTAAGATTGCTTTATCTCCTTTTTTCCTTGACAGAACCTATATTTCTTTTGTAATGAATCAATAAAATAAGTAATCAGGGTAGTACTTGTTATATTGCGACTCCCGGACACCCACATTTACCTTAATAATTCACTGTTTATATTCGACTCTTTGCTAGAAATGACAGAATATTTGGACTGGAAACTCACATGTATATTTTAAAAGATTTAATATACCACAATTTCACTGTTATTGACACTTCCTGGAAAGTATGAGAACAACATTTTCTATTATTTATCATTCTTTTATTAGAAGTGGGATAAAACAGCTCAGTTTTATTGCTGCTTCTCCTTTATGAGCCACAGTCACTGATGTTACAACGTTTCTCCCAAAATTGCATGAACTTATTTATGCCATCTATCAAACTAAGAATTTTTAACAAGTATCTGTACTTTGTTAAAAAAAATACAGGTTACTGAGACCAAAAGGGTCTTAGCAGCCAAGAATTTGTTATATGTAACTATACTTAAAAAACAAACAAACAAAAAACCGTCCTCTTTAAATAGGAGAAAAATCTTCTGTGTTTCTTCACATGCCGGCTTACAGAGGTGTACAGGCATGGCTGAGGCAGAAATTCAAGATGTGCCAGTTGAATAAATAAAACCGGCAGAATGCAAAACCTTAGTCATTTCTTCATAGATGTGTAAATTTTTTTTCAGAAAAACAAATCTGTATTTTAACAAGCAAACTTTTAATCTTGAAGTTAAAGCTGACTAGCTATTTTCATGTACAGAACTAATATAAGTTCCATTTTTAAAAGCCGCAGAACTACTCATAAGGTCAAAGTATGGCAATAACTTATTCTGACATTACCACTCATGTGAACTATACCTAATACAAAACCAGTTAATGTCTAGCACACTTCCATCAGAACTTTCTTAGTCTTCCCACTAGTTTCTCCACCTTCTTCCCTTACTCTTTTTGTTTCCACTGCAGCTGTCACTCATTTATTTACCGATGATATTGGCCAATCTCTATTTATTATCACTTTGCAGATCTATTTATTTTTAAGCTGGATTTAAAAACCTCATTTACTGTGTTAAAACAGTAATCACATAAAACGTACATACACACAGATTAGCAGGAATGATGGGAACCTGGCATTACACTGCTCTTGGCTAAGTAATTTTGTGATTCATTTGTGTGCTGGCCTACCTGCGAAATAATTAATCAGGCACCCGGGGCTGTGCAATCTGCCCAGGTGCCCCACTCTTACTTCTTCATTTTTCCATCACCCACTTCTTGTTCCCTTCTTTACGCATAATTAGGAAACTGTTATTTTTCTTTTCTTTTCTTTTCCATTTATCTTTTCTTAAAAAAAAAAAAAAGAACATTTCACACCTGCCTACAAAAAAGGTCTAAACTAAGCTGTATTTACTTCATTTGTTTCTCCCCGGTAAAAGGTTTTTTACCTTTTTCTTCTGTCCATCCTCCTGTGATGGAAGCATGCAATGGAAAAAGAAGCCAAGATAAAGGAGTGTCCATTCACCCAACTCCATGAGAGTCATTTACATCTTTACCTTGAAATTAGTAACACAACCTGAGAGGCTGTACAGATGGTCCTACTCCAAGAGTCAGGACTAGTCATTTCTGAATGATTTTCCCTACTTTAGTAAAATTATTGCTTGGGGGTTATTTCAGACACATGACTACCTATTCATATATTGTACATGTAAATTAGACCAAGGAATAAAGAATATAAGCATTACTTTAAGGAAAACACTTCATCTTCAAATATACATTTTAGAAATAAGCACCTCATTAGAAGATAAAACAAAATGACCAGAATCATAAAATGGTAACGAGCAGGAATCTTATCAATAATGAAAGCGTTTCATTTAAAAGACTCAGAGAATTATTAAATGGGCAAAATATTTTAATAAAAGTATAATACACTTACACTTCTGGTTTCACATGCCACCACATTATCTTAATACTTAAGAAACTAACTTGAAGTCTTAATATTTAAGAAATTAACTTGAATACTTAAGACCTGGGGCAGAAAACCTTAAAAATAATTTAAATTAATTCAAACAAGTTTGGGATAGAATCAGAGGACTTTATGGCTCGAGGGAATCTAGTATAGCTTCAAATTCTCACTTTGCTACTTATAAGCTGTGTGTCTTTGAGTGACGACTCTGATTCTCAGTTTCCACTTTATAAAAGGGGCAATACTATCTACTGGATGGATAGGTACTAAATGTATGCATCAAATAAGATGACACATTTCAAAGGATGCAGATGTTCAATGAATGGTAGCTACTGTCATCCTCACCATTTAGTCTACCTCCCCCTTCTGAACCCCCTTTTGAGAAACCCAGACCCAAGAAGGCTGTGATCATCTAGGTCTCCCAATTTCCAGCCCACCAATATTTCACCACCTCACCCCATCTTACTCCTAAATTGATAAAAGGCCTTTGTATGTATATTACAAGATTCAAGAAACAAAATTATAATCACTTAAGCTTTAAAAATGAATTATATATATGCTGTTTTTACAATAAAATATACTTTTAAAAAAATGTATCTTTCCCGCTGGGCGGAGTGGCTCACGCCTGGGTGGATCACTTGAGTTCAGGAGTTCGAAATCAGCCTGGCCAACACGGTGAAACCCCATCTGTACTAAAAATACAAAAATTAACTGGGTGTAGTGGCGGGCGCCTATAATCCCAGCTCCTCAGGAGGCTGAGGCACGAGAATCGCTTGAACCTGTAAGGTGGAGGTTACAGTGAGCCGCGATCGCGCCACTGCACCCCAGCCTGGCAACAGAGAGACTCTACTTTAAATAAAACAAAACAAACAACAACAAAAAGTATCTTTCTACCTCTGGTATATACTACTTTCCCCGAAAAAAAAAGGGAAAGCCCTTGCTGCCGACAACCTGAGGACGGACAATCTGAGTCTTACCTGGCTTCCCCCAATGTCATGGGCTACGGTTGGCTACCGAAGGCCTACTCAAAGACAGACGCACTGGAAGCCTCCAGAAGAAACTTCATTCAGTTCATTTCTGCACATTGCGTTGCAGGGCTGAAAAAGCACGAATGTCCACACAGTGACAAAAGAAAAGGGGCGTCCCCTGAAAACACCACCTGTTCCCCTAAATGTGAGTGTGGTGAACCGGGACACTAAGAACTTGGAGGACAGAGAGAGTTCTCACAATGGGGGTGTCCATGGATGAAGCGCCGAACAGCCTGGCGTCCGAAAAGTGAGTCCCGGAAATGGGCTCCGTGGGGCCAGAGAGCTCCACGACTTGGGGTGCGGGTTCAGGGTGTCCACGGAAAGGCAAAGATTTGGGCTGCCTGAGAGGACGCTCCCTCCCTGTGAGGGAGGCCAGCAGGGCGGCCGGGAAGGCCAGAGACGTGGTGGTACGACCGCCCCGTCCCCTGCAGTCCGGCGCCCCGCCACCGAGCACCGCCGACGCCGCCGCTTACCTTTCGCGGGGTCACCTCCTCACAGCCCCGAGTCACCCCGCCCAGCTCCGCGTCGCCTCGCCTTCCCGCCTGCGAGAGAGAGCGGCGGAGCGCGCCCGGCGCGGCGCCACAGCGTCCCCTACCTTCCGGAGGCTGCGGCGCAGCGGCGCGGGAATGCGGGGACCAGCCCAGCGCTTGCCCCACAGGTGGGGAGGACCTCGCGCCAGTCCTTGGAGCCTGCGGGCTGGAGTTTGCAAGGGGCGTTTCTGCTTTCTTCCTTTTTTGACCTTTAGTTTTCCATCTCCCAACTTCAAATTACCTTTCAGTTTCGTGTGTATGTTTGTATAAATAAAAGGAGACATCTAGAAGTATGTCTATTTCATGAAAGCGGAAAGCATTACAATTTGGGAAAGAAAGCTAGTTCTGATCTCCTCCTACCCCTATTTTAGGGGCACAGTCATTTAAGTGTAGAGTTAATACTCTGCCATTCCATTAGGGACTTGAGAGTCCAAGGTGCAGGATGTAGCATGCAGGTGCAGTTGAGACAAGAACAGACATATGAATGCTGGTTTGCACATCCTTTGCTGAGATACACGTTTGTTGGGATACACGTGAAAATGGATATGGTTTGGCTCTGTGTCCCTACCCAAATGTCCTATGAAATAACAGTCCCTTATGTTGAAGGAGGGGCCTGGTGAAAGGTCATTGAATCATGGGGCAGACTTCCCAGTTGCTGTTCCCATGATGGGGTTCTCAGAAAATCTATTTGTTTAAAAATGTGTAGCACTTCCTCCTTCACACTCTCTCTCTGGTGCCATGGTAAGACATACTTGCTTCCCCTTCCAACAAGGTTGTAAGTTTCCTGAGACCTCTGGAGCCATACCTCCTGTACAGCCTGTGGAATTGTGAGTTAATTAAACCTCTTTTCTTTATACCTTACCCAGACTCAGGTAGTTATTTATAGCAGTGTGAGATGAACTAATACAAAAACCAAAAATAAAATTCTAAACACTACCACCACCCACCCACCCTCCGGAAAGGAATGGACCTTTGTCTTGGCCAAGGTAATGTCAAAAAACCCTGAAAAACGAGTTCAGGCCCTGATAGGAAGTGGGGTGGGGGGTGGTTGGACATGCCTCATTATACCCTCCTCCCATTGGAGTTTAGACACACAGCATTAACACTAAAATGGAGATCTTAAGACTGACAAAATAGACTGTAGCAATAAGAAATTCCAACCTGACTCAGGAATAACATCATGTGACACATAGTGGGCCCTGAAAGAAATAAAAATGTTACCCCAAAATATATTTATTTGACATATTTTGAAATGGACTTGCAATGCTGTCTCTTGTGGGGAAAATTTACATTCCATAGAGAATCTCCTTCCCTTACTAAATCTTTTCCAGAGAGTTTGACATCTTTTAAGGTTTGATAAGAGACATTCACGTGTATTCTCTGAAGCCAGCTACCTGGAGGCTTCATCCACATGAGAACCTGGCTGCCACAACACCCTGCTTACCTTAACTCAAGCTGGCTTCACATCTTCAGGCAGAGCTTAACCCTTTCAACGAACTGACAACGTGAAGATCTTTGAATTCGCCTGTGATCTGGAAACCCACCCCCACACTGCTTTGAGATGGGACAAACCAATGTATACCTGACATGTATTGATATATGTCTTTGCCTGTAACTTCCATTTCTCTAAAATGTGTAAAATCAAGCTGTAGCCCAACCATCTTGGGCACATGTTCTCAGGACCGCCTGAGGCTGTGTCACACGCCATGGTCCTTAACACTGGTGAAATAAACCCCTAAATTAATTGAGTCTCATATACATTTTGGTTTACACAAGTTATATTAAAACAAACAGAACAGTTGGAATAGAAGGTACCCATATTTTGGCATGGGTTTATATAAAGCTTTGGCAGATAGGTTCTGAATTTAAAACTTGTTCTCTCCAGCCAAATTAACTTCACATTTGATTTGAGTTTTTTTTTAATTTTAATATTTATGTGTATATATTTATGGGGTACATGAGATATTTTGATACAAGCATACAATGCACAGTAATCACATCAGGGTAAATAAATGGAGTATTCACCACATTGAGCATTTACCATTCATGATACAAACATTCCAATTATATGCTTAGTTTTTTTTAATTTTTTTTTTTTTTTTTTTTTTCGAGACGGAGTTTCGCTCTTGTTACCCAGGCTGGAGTGCAATGGCGTGATCTCGGCTCACCACAACCTTTGCCTCCTGGGTTCAGGCAATTCTCCTGCCTCAGCCTCCTGAGTAGCTGGGATTACAGGCACGCGCCACCATGCCCAGCTAATGTTTTGCATTTTTAGTAGAGACGGGGTTTCCCCATGTTGACCAGGATGGCCTCGATCTCCTGACCTCGTGATCCACCCGCCTCGGCCTCCCAAAGTGCTGGGATTATATGCTTGAGCCACCGCGCCCAGCTTAAATTTTTATTTATTTGAGATGGAGTCTCGCTCTGTTGCTAGGCTGGAGTGCAATGGCCCGATCTTGGCTCACTGCAACCTCCGACTCCCTGATTCAAGCAATTCTCCTGCCTCAGCTTCCCGAGTAGCTGGAATTAGAGGCATTGCACCATTACGCCCAGCTAATTTTTGTATTTTTAGTAGAGATGGAGTTTCACCATGTTGCCGAGGATGGTCTCAATCTTCTGACTTCATGATCCGCCCACCTTGACCTCCCAAACTGCTGGGATTACAGGTGTGAGCCACTGTGCCCAGCCTACTCTTAGTTATTTTTAAATGTATAATCAATTATTGCTGTCTGTAGTTACCCTGTTGTGCTATCAAATACTAGATCTTACTCATTTTATCTAAGTATACCTTTGTACCCACTAAAAATCCCCATTTCCCACTTACCCCACCCTCACTACCCTTCCTAGTGTCTGGTAACCGTCATTCTACTCTATCTCCATGAGTTCTTTGGTTTAATTTTTCTCTCCTACAAATAAGTAAGAAATGCAACATTGTCTTTCTGTGTCTACATTATTTCACTGAAAATAATATCCTCAAGTTCCATCTATGTTGCTGCAAATTGTTTTTTATGTCTGAACAGTACTCTGTTGTAGATATGTACCACATTTTTTCTTTATCCATTTATCTGTTGATGGACACTTAGACTGCATCTAAATTTGGTTATTGTGAATAGTGCTGCAGTAAACATGGGAGAGCAGAAATCTTTTTGATGTGTTGATTTCCCTTCTTTTGGGTATATATGTGGCTTGAGGTTTAATTTTTAAAAGCTCATTGACATCTTGTATTAAAAGGCAAGCTGCTGACAAAATAAGTTAAATTTCAATTAAAAAGCTGTTACTGCAGTAGCTAAAAAGAATTGCAGGGCTACAAAACACTACTCAGCAGACCCAAACTTTTTTCTTATCCCTTAGCGTTCTCAGTAATCTGTAACATGTCAAATATCACTGTGGAAACAAAGTACTTTTATTGTTATGATCAATAGAGTGATCAGATGAAAGAATACCAGAAACACACTATTGCAACAAAATTGGGTTTACCATCTTGGCTTTAGTAGGTATAGAAGACAATGGATTGCCATCTTTATTGCTGTAATGTGTTAAGCATTATATGCGAGTAGAATCTAGTTTAATTGTTTCAGGTGGAAAGTATTCTTTGAGTTTCCATTTTGAATGTGTTTAGACTAAACAAACAACAATTTAAAAAAAAAGGATGTGTAAGAATAGAGCACAAGCTCTAGGCAAAGATAACAGAGAAAAGCCTGAAGGCCTTGCCTATTTCACGGATATGAATATAATGTGAATGACATGACCTGTTTAGTCATTTTTGTTTACAATTCATTCCATTTTATGCTTTTAAGAAATTACTTTGAAGAGTGATGCTAATCTGATTTAGCTTTTGTAAACTTCATTTTGAGCAGGGCCATCAATATTTAATAATATTTCCAGGAGATTTCGTATTTGAAGGGATTGCATTAAGCGAAGATTAATCTGCGTGAACACACATTCAAAGGGACCATGGCATCTATTTTAAT